GGGCAGGGTATAAATCCAATCTCTTCTTCTTCTTCTTCTTCTTCTTCTTCTTCTTCTTCTTCTTCTTCTTCTTCTTCTTCTTCTTCTTCTTCTTCGAAGGTGGAGAATCTGTACTTGGTTCATCAGGATGGCCATCCCTCTTTTTTACCCACCCTGCCCATCCTCCTTGATAACAGAGGAGATGCAGGCCAAACAAAGAGTTTATTACCACTCCACTTCTGCTGATAAAGAGGGCAGAAAGATCAACACCTTGAGTCTCAAGACTTACTCATCGTCATCACTAACCCTCAGGATAGAAAATCACCAAGCTATTATGGCAACAAATCAGCTCTTTTTGTGGAAGAAGATTACCCCTTACCTAGAGCAGCTACCTGAAGATAAGAAGATGGATGGGGATGGAAATGATGTTGGGCTATGTGTCAATGTCACATCTGGGTGAAAACCTGAACATGGCATCAGTGTATTAGCCAGTGCTCTAGAAACTGTATGGCAGTAGCAAAGAGTTTCCAGAACATTGGCTAATGTACTGGCATGACATCCAGTTTTTGAACAGATGTGATGTCGGCACATAACCCAACATCACATCCCCCTTGCCCCATCACCAAAGATCCTGGATGTTGACTTTACAGGACAGAATTAAACTTTTGAAGGCAGTACCCTCTTGTAAGTGAGAGAGCACAGTTCTCAATCTATCCTCTGAAGCATCAGTTGTCAGAATTGTGGTTACTACTGAATTAAGCAGTAGACAAGTGGAGTTGCAGACAGTCAAGTCTTTTACAGTATCAGAACTAGCCTGGGTAATGGCTATCCTGGCCAGACTTCAGGTTCTCCATATTAGTTCTCTGAGTTCTTCAATGACATCAACATAGTTTGGCTTGGAATAAATTTGGCATACCATGAGGTAGAGCCCAAGGAGGAATGCAAGTTTTGTACATAAGTTAGAGGAGGGTGTGCACTTGTGAATGCTACAACACATTCTAGATCGAATTTCAAGTTACAGATGAAAGATGAGAATTCAGTGTTCTTGAATCTGCATTGAACCAAAACTGAACTTCAACCCTGTAGCTCAAATGCAGTTTAGTGTAGAAACAGTTTACCAGACGAGGTGTTCTGTCAATGGTGAACAGCCTGTTCGATCCTTTGGGGTTTGCAGCCCCGATGACAATCCAAGGGAAACACCTACTGCGCACAATGTCTCAGGGAACCAAAGACTGGGACGAACCTCTTTCCCTTGACCAGAGAAAGCATGGAGGAACTCCCTTGACAGTCTGCAGGGCATACACCTATCCCGTACCTATGTTCCAATCTCGTCAGCCGCCTCCTCTCGCAGAGAACTGCACGTCTTCTCAGATGCATCAACCAAGGCGATAGCAGCAGTAGCATATCTCAGGGTCAACGGCGGTGAGAGTCGTGTCCATGTGGGCTTTGTCATGGGAAAGGCTAAGCTAGCACCGCGACAAGGACACACTATTCCAAGGTTGGAACTGTGTGGTGCTGTGTTAGCTGTGGAGCTGGCAGACAAAATACAGAGAGAAATGGATGTCCAGTTTGAAACCACAACCTTCTACATGGACAGCAAGGTAGTGTTAGGCTTCATACACAATCAGAGCCGGCGATTCTATGTGTATGTGAGCAACAGAGTGGAACGCATCAGGCAGTCTTCGCATCCTGT